AAACCCTAGAACTCGAATTCAAGAGGATTGAACATTAAAAAGATAATAACTTCACCCTCTACTTGATTATAGTATGGATTAATGATTATAGACTATAGTTCATGAGATATGAGTTGATGAATTTGATATAAAACCATGAACAGTTATAGGTTTGGGTTGTTGATTGTTGATAATTGGTTAAGGGTATTGTTTATCTTATGGATGATAAAGAATGATATTAATTATAAGAAATTTGAGATTTTAGAATTATCTAGGTGCAAGAGAATGGGTAGTTGGGTGTAGAAACACCATTAATAAGGGTTTTGAAACTTTATGTCCACCAAGTGTTTGATAAAATAACTAAGTGACCAAAACATGAGTATTATTGCTAATATGGAATTCCTTTGACTTGTATTGATATAGATTAAAGTTGAGAGGGTTGTCGAATGTTGTATTACGCTCAAGAGTAGGAAGTTAAGGTATGTGAGGCTAACTCTCTATGTTTGGGAATGTTAATGATTCTCCCTACACTACATTTCTTTTACGACGTTACTAATTGCCTCAGAAATATAGTTATGCCTAGTTCCTTGAATAGTTACAGAACTTCTATTCTCTAGCTTCGTAACTCATTCATGGCTTTCATTCTGAACGTTGTGAAATTAGTGCGTAATCAATATAGACTTGGGTATGATGCCCATGCATCTCAGTCTAGATTACTTAGCATGTCATAACAGTTGAAGTTTCAGTTTTCATGATTAGTTCATGAATACATGTCTCAGTCTAGTTCTATTCAGCATCCGATATCATGTAACTCAATATGATTCAGTATTTTAGTATCACGTATTGCAGTATGATTCTTAGTTCCTGATTTTAAATTCCTGAATGTAGAACCCCTGTATTTGGACCTAAGGTCGTAGTTAATGATTTATGCATATTTGGGCCTGAGGCTGTAGTTTATGCATCTTTGGGCTTGAGGTTGTAGTTATGTATATGTATACTTTGGCCTGAGGTCACAGTTTGTGCACATATATATTGGGCCTGAGGCCGCTATTTATTAATCAGATAAATAGGCAGTTCATCATTCAGAAGAGAAAGTATTCAAATCCTTACATCCTTTGTTCAGTTCAATTATCAGTTATCAGTTCAGTTTCAATTTCAAAAGTTATTATTTCAGTTATCAATTATCAATTATCAGTTATCAACTCAGTATCATTTTCAGTATTTATAGTTATTTTTTTCAATTGTTTTATATACCAGTGCAATTTAAATGTACTGACATCCCTTATGTCTGGGGACTGCATCTCACGATGCAGGTAATTATTTATAGGTTGACGATTCAGAGTGCTAGGATTCTCGTACCAGCTACTTGGTGAGCCCCAGTTATTTCGAGGCATTACCATTACTTTACAGTTTTTCAATATTTACATATAACTAGCATTTCTAGTACTTCATTAGAGGCTTCATAGACTAGAGTAACATTTAGGCAGAGTCGCTTGCTTTTCATTTTAAGCAATGTTGACTACATATATGTTTCAGACCTATATTAGTATTTTCTCACTTTGATTTATGTCATTAAGACTTTCAATGTGTCAACATGTGTTAGTTTATTTTCTGCTTTCAATATGTTATGATATCACATGTTGATTTAGCCAGCAAATTAGTTTGCTTGGTCGGGCACTGGGTGTCGTGTTATGTTTAGGCCCAGCTTCGGGGAATGGCAAAACTTGGTGTCAGATCATTAGGTTCAAATGTCCTAGGGAGTCTATAAAGTCGTGTCCAGTAGAGTTTGCTTTATATATATATGTGTCGGTCATGCATCTGAGCGGTTAACTACCAAGACATTCAGGATTGTCTTATTTCTTTTTATTCTAGATCGTGCCATGAAACTTAGAGTAATAGGTAACCTTTTCTTCTCATCGAACTCCAGACGTATTGAATGCCCAAGTGATGGGCAGAAAAAAATCCAAGGTCCTAAAAAAGATGATTGCCCATTAGGGTATAATTATGGAGTATAGGTTGGTAACAAATGAGACTTGAAAGGATGCTATAGTACAGATTAGAGCATAATCTTATCAGAAAGTACAAAAGAAGTTATCATATTTTATGGTTATCAATTTACCTCAGTTGCCAGTTATACAGTCTTTCAGTTAACAGGTTTATGATTATTCAGTATGCCAGTATTCAGTTATTTAGTTAATAGATCTCCAATATTTAGTGTATCCAAACTCTGCTGACTTGTGACTATATAGTGATGCCTATGAGTGCTTAAAGAAAATGTAAATAACAATGGTTATAGCGAAATCTTCGCATGTTTTAGGTCTGGATTAAGACCCAAGAATGTCTGAATGGTGCAAGAAGTGATTTATTATATGATGGTATACTCTAAAGGACAAGTTTGTGTATGGTAGTGTATCGGTATGTGTTTTACCTCACTAAACAATTTCAATTTAATTCTCGAAAATGGAGCCATATGTGGGATGATGATAGTTTAGATATCAGACCCCACGATGTAACAAGTTAAGAGTTTAAGCGCAGCGAGCATAGAATTGATCACTATAGTTTTGGACAGAAAAAATCCTAAGGGAAAATACCTAGGAGGCAGAAATGTTTGATATTACCAAATATGTATTTTTCGCACGACTCATGCATATGACTAAGAAAATAGGATGTACGAAATGAGAACCAAAAGCAGTCACTATTTAATATCAGGGAATTATTTTAAGTTACTCAGATTTTTTCAAATCGAAACTAGAAAGTACTACGTTAGTAAGTTATTATAAGAAGTAGCTATTATTATGAGATAAAAGATATGACAGTTTCCCCTTAGGTTATGTGATTAAGTGTTTACCCCAGATGTGTATAATCTGATATGACTTTGAAGTGCATAGAAAGTTTGGGGTTAGATATTCCAAATTTGTTTAAGGCAGACGAAATTTCCTTAAGTGTGAACCATGTATATAGAAAAAAAATGGATAGTATGCGACTGTAGAATAGAGTCAGATATTGAGGGAAGTTAAGAATAACTGTATGCTTCACTTTAGTTATTCAAAGTAGAATAAGAGAACATGATGCTAGCAGATGGTTAGTAAAAGAATAGTATGTAACTTTTGAGTAAATATAGTGAATTAGCAATTTCGGGAGAGTTAGTAGAGTTACAACTTGATTTACTTATCCAAGTCAACACTAGTTAGTGATTAATAATTTAAAACACCAAACGTGTGTTAGAACCCAAAGAGTTTAAGTTAAACCCTAAGTACAGTGAGAGTGAAAAAAATTAGCTAGCAGTAAGAGAGAAAACTACGAAAGAATAGCCTTTAAGAGTTATCAAAAAGGGATTTCCCCAAGATTGACAGTGTGAGCAGAGTTAAATCATTAAGATTGTAATGATAGTTGTCAATACATTAGCTTTCCTTTTATGTAAGTAATTTAGTTTTTTCTAGTAAAGAATGATTTCTTAGAAGTACGTCGGAAGTTGAGTCGTCATTTACGTAAAGTACAAGAATTGCAGAAGATAAGAAAAGTTGTTCGGATCCTAACTAAAGAGAAGGTTCTGCATATACAAGACCTTAACCTTTGGTCTACGGG